ATCTTTAATCATTTAAAACCATTAAATTTTGACAGTGTCTGTTTAAATAATGACCAGTCAGAATTACTGTAATGTCAACCAACCAGACACCAGTTTTACAGTTGTGTACCATCTCCGTTTCATTTCCTGTTGATTTTTCACCACAATCTTTTGCCAAATCTGGCAAATTACTTTTTATATTTTATTTCTTACCAAAACTGTACAATTTCATGAATAAATAGTTATTTCAACCTCATTGTGGTAAATATTTTTAAGGTGAGATTTTTGATGTTGCTTTTTGCTAAGTGAATTTTCAGTGTATATTAAGAGTAACAGTGGGCAGTTCAATAATGAAATTGACTTATAGTCTTCAAAATGTTACCCTGGGACTCGTGTTACTATGTTCGTAATTTGTTATTTTATTAATTTGTAAAAAAGAAATAATTTTATCTGCATTCCTGTATCAATTACAAGATGTGAATGCATTAATTATTATTTTTTTTTTTTACAGCAAAATAATGATGTTTGCTTGATGTCATATTTAGGAACCATCACTAAAGGATGCAATACAATTAACCAGGTATCAATTAGTCCATATCGTTAATTTATCATTTCCTGCTCTTTACCAAGTAGCTTATTGACAGACTAACTATATTTTCAGGAGTCGATATGTTGTTGTATAAAAAATGTGATCTAATCACAATCATAGAGAAACAAGCTGTCGTGAATAACAATGAGGCATAGCAGAGAGTAATTAACAAAATGAAGTATTTCAGTTTCATCCATTTAAAACACAATCTAAGTAATTAAATGTGTGAATTTGACTCTAATGTTTACAATTAATTCAGATATGAACTAACCTGGTATCATTCCCATTTTACCCAGGAGTTGATAAGAATACACAACACTAGTACGCACCTCAGAAAGATTTTGGCCACACTTTGTTGCTGCCATAGCTTACATTTTAAACAAGCCAAATGATCAAAAGAAGTTACTGTATTCGGAAATGTTTACTCTACTTAGAATCACACATAAACCAAGAAGTGCATTTTTTGTACTGACTCATTAAAATATTTTGGCTGTAGTCATGCCTCTGTCATAACCTCATTCACTACTAATGAACCATATATAATATTGCCTTTGTGTGTCCTGTATTGTAATACCCATATTTATGCAAGGGTGTAATGGTTTGGCAATCCACATAAATCATTGTGACATTCTGAGCTTTTAGTATTTTACTTGTCTCAATGAACAGGATGGTTATATTGATTGTTTTCTAACACTTATTATTTTTTTTCTCTTTAGTTTGTCAACAAATTCAATATACTATACGACAGACAAGGAATGGGAAGAAGAATGAGAGGACTCTTTTTCTAGTGCTTTGCAACCCTCTGATTCCAGAATGAAATAATCTCTCTCTGCTGGTCAACATGTCTGATTTGCAACCCCTGCTCTAAGAATGGAATATTCTTCTCTCTACTGGTCATCCTGTCTGCTTTGCAACCCCTGCTCTAATAATGCAATATTCTTTCTATCTGCTGCTCATCATGTCTTTGCAACCCCCTACTTCCAGAATGGAATATTCATTTTCCCTTATGATTATTACCAGTATGTCTGCTTTGTAACCCCATCTACAAGAATGAACATTGTTTATCTCTAAACTGCTTTAAGAATGGAATATTGTTTTTAATGAACATCCTGTCTGCTATGCACTCCTAAAATCATCACCACTCCCCACTCCCACCTGTTCTCTGCTTCACAAATGAAGTATTCCCCTGCTTCAAAAATGGAATATTCTTCTTTAGATGATTCATTTGTTTGGCCCTCCCCAGCTCAAAAAATGAAATATTCTGTTTCTCATAATAATTGTATGTACCATGACTGAACTACAACCTCTGTAGATAAATGTAACAATCAGCTTAGTAATCAGATGAGTTCCCTGGCTGTTTTTTTTTAACATCTTGCTTCCCATGAATGAAATTTTCCGTTTTGCATGCCATATGGTGGTGTCCCATGACAATTTAGTTGATTCATGTTTCATAATTGCATTCAGTGAATTCATTTGTAGAATTCGTCTTTATGCTGTGATGTATTGTGAGCATTTCATATTAAAACAGATAAAATAACATTGCATCTTGTTCGTCATTTTGGAAACTTACTCTGTAATCCACCTCCTCTAAATAGTGACATGGGTCACCGTCAAGAATTTTTATTTTCTTCTTGAGTGTCTATTAGCTTGTAATAATGAGCCACTCTGATCATATAGCAAAACAATATGATAAAAATTAATGAGGCAGTAATGTATGAAGACAACATATTTTCTTGACATTATATATCTCTTTCTTTCTCTCCATCATCCGCATTTTTCCTTTGAAACCAATACAAAAAGAAGCAATTAACATGTCATGTGCAACTTGTTGCCCTGCAGAAAGGCATAGAAGAGCATTGTACATTATTCACTTGCAGTAATACACTGGGGGTTAAGGTAGTTAGCTACCATAAACAAAAAATTGATCACAGTAAATCATTCAAAAATTCATATTCATGCACGTCGTTCATATTTACATTTTTATGGAAAAAGTGTTTTCAAGAAAGCATATGCAAAATAATCTAAAAGCGACCATTTTGGAACATTTTTCATAGGATTCCATGTAAACACATTATTCCATTGATAAATTATACTAACATTCAAAATTCCCCAATGTTTCGTGACAATCATATGTAGCCCTCATAGTGATACATATAATTTTTTAGCATACGTTACCGAACCAAATTTTAAGATATGATGAAATGTTTCTACCCTAGGAACCAAAAAACACATTTTTGATCAATCTTTGAGGTCATTATGTGAAAAACTTTATTTTTATTTCTCTCTGGTTTTTGAGGATTTCAGAATATTTTTTTTAATGGTGGCAAACTACCTTAATGGTGCACTAAATAGAAGCTG